CATTATCGGTTATCATTGTTTAACTATACCCAAACCTTTTCACCAGAAAACAAAAGAGTCTTTCATGCATTGGTAACATTGCATATCAAGCATATCATAACATGTTATCATAACGACCCTATTCCTACTACAGAATTCCTTGCATCTCAAGCATATCATCCATTTGCATCTCAAGCATATCACTACATCTATCCCTTTTATAATCGGTCAAAATTATGGGTATTCTAGTATTTAATCCTCTTCTACCTTGAATGTTTGAAAGTCCTTGCTATTCATACTTTCAGGTCAAAGAAGATTAAATAGTGGCACCTGTCATACCTTAAATTTTGACCAGGAATTTTAAAACTTGCATTCATCTGACTTATATTTTTACTTTGCATCATCTGCATATCATATCATGTCTTTCATTATGCATAATGCCCAAAATGTCGGCCAGAATAAACTTGTTGGATTTACAGACAAATCGGTCAAACTGAAAGTCAAATGTGCGAAAAATCAGTGGATGAAAAGTTTCAAAATTAAGCTTGCACACGTCATTTATTTTAATATACATTTCGCGTAGTTTAACTTGGCGTGCTTGTTTTAATTTTTTATGACTTTTCGACCACGTTTTGATTAGTCTGAGCATTTTTATCGGTTAAGATTTATTTCAGAATTTGACAAAACGTTGTATTTTTCCAAGTGGTTTATTCCGCGCTAATAATTTTGGTGCAATCATTTTTAATTTTCGAGTACTTTGGTACCCGACTTTTTATTCGTTTGTTTATCATTTTAATTTTAATTTTTAGTTAAATAATTATTTAGTTTATTTAGTTAATTAGGTGTTTGAGTTAAGTTTATTTTAGGTAAGTTTAATTTATTTATCATTTATATGCCTCTTTTTTAATAACACAAAAATATTTGTTTCTTAATTCCTTTTAGAATCCTTGTCCACTAAGTTTTAGAAAGGGGTATTTTGTCTTCCTTCATATAGAAAACTCCACTTAAAAACCTAGTATATATTTCATTGCATGAGAGTTGAAGGAGGCACCAATCCATATACCCATATCAGCGGCGTGTAAGAGTTAAAAAAAGGGCACATTAATTGTTTTTCTTGGAGTTTGAATTGAAGAATAACAAGGTGTCACATTCACAAGGGAGAGAATTAGTTCTCTCAGGATTTTCCTCTCTCTCGCGCGACACCGTCTTCATCACCCTTGCTCCACTAAAAACCAAACATACCATACAACATGTCATAAAAACTACATCCACCTATTATTTTCCTCTCGGTTTTGAAATAAAGAAAATAAAAAACTTGAGGAAAAGGAAAACATGAATAATACGGTCAACCATTATCTTCATACAATGATGTTTATTTTCGTTTTTTCATCTTATAACCACCCATATTCCACTCTTCATTTCCATGCTATCTCTATTCTCTCACTTTTCTCATGCTGATAAATATCAACGGAGTAGAGTAACCATACAATACTCCTCATCTCTAAACATAAAACGACAAACTCCATTAACCACACATCACTCTTTTCTTGAAAAAACTCTTCATACAACTCCACATTAACTCTCTCACAACAATATCATCACCTTCATCATGTTTTTCGCAACCCCTTCCATAATGTATCCTCTCTATCATTTTCTTTATTCCTCCATGTTTCAATGGTAACACAAGTAACTAGAAACTCCATAAAAAATTATTGCCTTCATGTTTCTTATAGACCAGCCATGAAGACACAACCATAACATCATCTTCTTCATCCTAAAATAAAACAACACCAATCTTTTCTTAAGTTGTTTTTCACCCTTCACATAACTCCAACCTTGAGCATACTTGGTAACACAAGCATCACACCACTACCATACTCCCTTAACCGTCAGTATTAAACCACCCCAACAATATCTTATTTTTCTTCCTCCATTTGCCATAATTACCGCCAAAATAGCCGACAACAACACCAACCTGCAGAAGCCTCAACATCGTACCATAACCACCTATTCACTCTCTCAAACAACCATGAAACTCCTCCATCATACAAATTTCTTCAAATAAAACTTCAACCTCACCACCATGAGAACAACTTAAAATCCTTCAAAACTTCACTATTTCCACAACTTTCCTCCGTAAATATTTTTCTGGTGACCACCATAATCGCGCCATAACACTCACGACAAACCACCTCGCACTTCTGTTGCTACATTGTTCAAACTAGACCTTCCTCAAAACTATCACACATCATAACAACTCCATACTACACAAACCAATTTGCATAACCACTCAAACCCTTTTTTCGTTTCCAACAAACTTCACGTACATCTACGAGCGAGTAGAGAGAGCAGGAACAAGAGGGGAGAGAACTGAGGTGAGAGCAACAAGAGAGTGAGACGAGAGCAAGAGGGAGAATGATGACGAGAACGCATAGAAGAATCCATGTGTTTCCATGATAGAAGATGATGAAGCCACATTTGGTTTTTTTTTTCTTTTTTCCGGATCTGCATCTTGAACGGCAGAGAAAGGAGGAAAGGTGATTCACGTGAGTCACTTTTTCAAAAATATTATTTTTATTTATTTTCTTTTTACATAAGCTATGTTTTTTTTGTTATTATATTACTATTGAGATTTTTTATAGCCTTTCATCTTTTCTACATGTTGTCCACACCCCATCTCCTTTCTTTTATTTTTATTTTTATTTTTATTTTCTTTCTTTATTATTCTTATAGTTTTTATTTTCCTTTAAACTTTTCTTAATTCATTTTCATATTTCCTAAAACTTTTAGCATTTTAACTTTAATTTAAATTTTGTGTTCTCTTTTTATTTTATTTTGTTTACCTTTTGATTTCTATTTTCTTTATACTTTCATTTCAAGTTATTTTCTATAATGCAATTTTATTTCCTCTTTTATCTTTTTTATTTTTATATTTTGCTTTAACATCCTCTTTGTTCATCTTTTATGGATCATGTTGATTGCCTCTTATAATTTTTGGTTAATAATTCTTTCTATGTTTGATTCTATTTGAGACTCCCATGTTTTAGGCTTGTTTTCTCTTGTTAATTCATCTTGACGTTTGAGCTATACCTTATTTATTTGCTTGCTTGTGAATTCATATGTTACCTTAGGATCTTCTAGTTCAACTTAATTTTTTATTAAGATTGATGTAGGATAGATTTAGGTTCTTAATCCAAGCATAACGATATTAGGTTAGAATTTTCCCTTTGAACTTTATCTTAGGTCCATCCTTTCATGATCACATTAATTAGGGTTTCCCTTTAACTTCAACTTTAGGTTCACTTTGCATGACAATATTTAGGATCAAGCTTCCTTTATAATTTTTTTCTTTGCATCCTTTCCTCTTAAAATAAAAAAATCCAAAAATACTTAATAAAGATGATACATATAATACGTCACGAGCCTTAAACCCATGAGGAAAGATGAGCGAGAGTTTTCCTTACCTCTTCTTAGAGTATTCTGTACATGAGACACTTGGCTCATTTGTATGAAGTATTCGCTCTCATCGTCATAGACTTTAGTATAATACGTATCTCAAACCATTTGATTCATTTCCTAACAAAACACTTCAATAAATTCAAATCGTTTTCCTTTGGGATTTTCTCTTTAACCTTTTCAAAAAGGATATGTTATTTCCATTCTACCGCGATACAGGTAACACATAAGTCTCCACGCAACGAGCTACAACACCTAACTACTAGAATGCAAACGTTAACATCGTCCATAAAAAACACCTAACAAAGAAACCTTTTTCTACAAGAACTACGGAGTTTTGATTCCCTTTGGGATACGTAGGCACTGGGTTGCAAAACTCAGATGAACTCAATAATAAAAACCTTTTGTTTTCCCCTTTTATCTCATTCATGTATTCCCTTAGCAAGTTAAGATTCAGATATACTCACCCTTTGATTAGAACAACAAGAGTGGATCCCGTTGAGTACAACGAACGTGAGGGGTGCTAACACCTTCCTCTCGCGTAATCGACTCCTAAACCCGAATTTGTTTGCGAGACCACTTTCTTTCCCTTCTGAGGTTTTCTCAATGTTTTCCTTTCTCTGTTGGGATAAATAAAGTTCGATGGCAACTCTATGCTTTTTTGGCATAGCTACAATACTTCCATTAATCAGAACAAAAAGGTAAGAGTTAAGAATCGTACCTCTCATCCAATTGATCCACTTTTCACCAAAGTTCATAGCCTCTAGCACATTAATCAAAAATCCTCAATCAACACAGTCATAGGCTTGGGCAATATCCACCTTGAGTAGTAAGCAATACTTCTTCTTTCTAATCAAATAATCAATCAATTCATTCAGCACCACAACACCATCATGTATTTGACGCCCAGGAATGAAAGTCATTGGCAAGGAGGAGACTAGCTTTCCAATTACTAAACTCAATCTTGTAGCCAACATCTTCTCCACCACCTTGTAAATGCTTCCAATTAAGGATATGAGTCTGAATTCATCTATGTTTTGTGGGTTATCTCTTTTAGGAATAAGTGCAATAAAGGAGGAACACATTGCTTTTGGCAAGGTAGCAGTACTATGGAACTCTTCAATGTAACTAACAACATTCTTCCCAATCACACCCCAACATTTCTTAAGGAAAGCCATATTAAAACCGTTAGGACCTAGATTTTTATTTCCATCACAGCTATTGATAGTCTTAATAATTTCCCACTAGTGAAAGACTCATGAAGTTTAACATTATCAGATTGGGATAGCTTTGCTAAATCCGAAAGATCCACATCAAGTCTGCACATTTCAGAATATTGGAATTTTGCTTCAAAATGATCTTTGATGGTCTGCTTAATGACAATGACATCCTCCACAACAGCAGAGCTAATATTATTAGTTGAGATGACATTCAACCTCGATCTGGAGTTTATTAGCACATGAAAAACCTTGAGTTAGAATCACCTTCAGCCACCCACTTTGCTCTAGACTTTTATTTAGAAGGCTTTCTTCAAGATGGAGATTATTCCAAATTTCTTCTTGCACCTAATATCTCCTCCTTAGAACTTCCTCAGGAATGTCTTCATTGCAATCTTCCATGTCCCTCTCAATACTATTTAAATTATCCACACCATATATAATCTTCAAATCAAGCCAATAAAACACGTGCTTATTCCACCACCAAAGTTTGTGCTTAAGACCCTTCAATTTGAGAACCAAAATATTACTAGCATTGCCATACACATGAATGGATTGCCAAGATTCCTTAAACAATTTGATGAAATCCGAGTGATCAAACCAAGCGTGAAAGGTCTTGAACGGTTTTGGCCCCCAATCCATTGAATTTGAGAGGAGCCACACCAGCCTATGATCTAAAACATCTTTATCCCCCATCTTTTGAGCCACAACTTTCCACTTTCTCACTAACTTTTCTGACAAAAGAATTCTTTCGAGCCTACTCTTACACGTCCCACTTGAATTGAACCAGGTGAACCTATTCCCCACAATAGGCATGTCTACAAGATCTATTGCATCTATAAATGAAGAAAAGTCCTTCATTTCCATGAAGTTTAGCCTACCCTTCCCCTTCCTCTCCAATTTAGATTTAACAGCATTAAAATCCCCCCAATTACCCATTCACCCCGAGGAAGCTTGTTTTTACACCTAAAAAGTTCTGACCAGAGTTTCCTTTTCTCCCCAAGAGCACAAGAAGAATACACGTTAACTATACAATAGTTTAAGCCTTTCCACTCCCTAAAGATTCCCAAAATCCACTACCTTTGAAGTAAACAAATGACTAAATACATTCTTGTTCCAAATTAACAGCAATCCCCCAGAAGAACTAACAGAAGCAACAACTGACCAGCCAAAGTCATCTTTACCCATTAAATTCTTCACGAGCTTGTCATCAAAAACCTGAGCCTTAGTTTCCTGAATCATACAAAATTCCACTTTTTCTCTTGACACCAATTGACACAGTCGTCATTTCTTAATAGAGGAGCCACATGTAACACCCATTTTATTTATTTAGTCATTTTGGTGTTAATTTAATTATTTTATGTTGGTGTGCCCTTAGATGGGGTGTGTTGGTATGTGATTGGTGAGTATCCTTGATATATAAGGATCATTGGTGGGGTGGAGATAATAATATAATAGTTAATAGTAATATTGATGGTATTATTATTATTATTATTATTATTATTATTATTATTATTATTATTATTATTATCATCGGTATGAATATTATTATTGGTGGGTGTCCCTGATATGGGAGGATTATTGGTGGTGTTTTGGTGAATATAATAATATAGTGTATAATATTGATATTGGTGGGAATATTATTATTATTATTATTATATTTATTATAGTTACTATTGTTATTAACATTATTATTATTTCGGTGAGATAATAATAGGATTACTATTACTATTATTATTATTATTATTTTATTAAGTTATTAACATTATTATTATTTTGGTGAGATAATAATAGGATTATTATTACTATTATTATTATTATTATTATTATTATTATTTATTATTATTATTATTATTATTAAGTTATTATTATTATTGGGATTAGAGAATTAAAATAGAAACGTGAGGGATTAGTAGTTTTACGATACATTGTGAGAAGTTAGAGAAAGTGGAAAAAGAACGATAGAAAGGAGAGAACGGAAAAGGGAGCAAAGAACGAAGGATACAGGGGAAAATCAGAATTGGCCAAACCTTGGAGGGTTCTTTCATCGATCAACCGATTAACAAGGTAAGGGGGGAGAAACTTGATTGGGATGGTATATACATGTATAGGGTAGAGGGGAGTCCTTAACCCCGTAGGAAAATTCCGATCTATGAAGTTTTATATTGGCATGCTTGTTATTGTTGTTGCTAATGCTAAATTGATGCTTGATATTGATGAATTGTTGATTGGTATTGGTGAATTTGGTGTATATATATTATGGTGATGTTAGTGAGATTATATGTTGTTACTGTAGTGTGGGTAATGACCATGATTATAGCTTTGGGGAAAATTATATGTTGTTACTGCAGTGTTGATAGTAACTATAAATAGAGTTTTGGTGAGATTCTGTGTTGTTACTGTAGTGTGGGTAATGACCATGATTATAGCTTTGGGGGAAATTATATGTTGTTACTGCAGTGTTGATAGTAACTATAAATAGAGTTTTGGTGAGATTATGTGTTGTTACTGTAGTGTGGGTAATGACCATGATTATAGCTTTGGGGAAAATTATATGTTGTTACTGCAGCGTTGATAGTAACAATAAATAGAGTTTTGGTGAGATTCTGTGTTTGTGTTTGATGATAACTGGTAATTGATAGTGATGGAGTATAGGTCAATGTTAATGAATTGTTGTTTTGGTTAATTGGCGTATAGGCTGGGTTTACGGTTTTTAGGGAGATTCTGTGTGACCCTTTGAGGCATCGGTAGAATGTCTAAGAGTTGATTTGGGAATGTGGCTTAGAAACTGATAAGTTATGATATCGTATATTGTTGGTACTGGTCATAAGCTGTGAATTGGAAGTGAGCAGTTAGGCTGAGTTCGGCTTAGAATAGCTCTGCAGAACTGTGAGAAATTGGTGAATCGCACCATTCGCTGGGCTTCGCCTGGCGAGTGTTGGCGAAGTTTCGCCTGGCGAATGGGGGCGAGTGTTCGCCTGGCGAGTTGAGGCGAGTGGCAGCGAATAATTCAGAATTAAATCCCAGACTGAAAGGGTAGAAAGTTCGCCTGGCGAATGCCAGCGAACGTAGCAGCAGAATGTGAGTGTTGTGATATTTTGGCCTTGAGCTCTGGACTTGTGTATTTCCTTTGGCCTTGATGCCATGTATGAATGATGACTGTGGGAATTAACTTGTGTACTCGGTGATAGTACATGTTTCCCGTAATAACGACTGGTGGGCAATTAGTTGATGTATATGTGTGTAGTGATCAGTAGGATCGTGTATTCCCCGAGTGTTGGGATGTGATTATATATGGCGTTAGAGTGTGAACTCGTTTAATATCTAATTTAATTGAAATGAATGATGGGTGTATCATGTATATGATTATGGTGCAGTGATCAGTAGGATCGTGTATCCCCGAGTGGTGGGATGTGTTTATGTCTGGTGTTGTGGTATGAATTCGTGTACTATCTGGTTGATTTATATGGTGTTGGCGTAATATATCTATACATATATGCATTGATGTATGATGATATGATCAGGAGGATCGTGTGCACCTTGAGTGCCTAATTGTGATAGTATGCATTGGTGTGTGCATATCATGGTGTTTTGGTGGGATGAATCATGTCTCAAGAGGAGCGTAAGTGATTCATCCGTACTCCTTTGTGGAGAATGGTGGGGGATAGATCATGTCTCAGGAGGAGCGTAAGTGATCTATCCAGGTTCGATTGAATGAACCAATGAGTCGATACCGCATGCATGGATTTGAGTTGCATATTTGCATTATAATATGTTATATTGTAATTTGAACAGTAGGTTCGTTATATGGAGTTGTTGGGGTGAATATTGGTGTGTTGGTGTATTTTACTACCTTGTTTACATGTATTACATTACCATTATATTCTGATCATTATTTCTCACCCCTTTGTTGTTGTTGTGGTCTGTGCTTCTTCGGAAGTACAGATAATCCAGGTGCTTAGCTAACTTGGATGGTGGTGTGACAGTCGAGTCGTAGGATGCTCTGATACGTAACACGGGATATGGGTGTTTTAACTGTTTCATGTCAAACTTATTGTAATCCTGTGACGTATCATGAATTTGATGTATTTTATTTTATTAAACAAATTCCGCTGTATTATTTTGAAAAGAATGAATAAAGTATTTTTATAAAATTTGGAGATGTGATATCCCACTTTTTGGTGAAAACTCTGATTATTATTATAATATTTATATTTTATTTAATACGGGGAAGTGGGGTGTTACAATTGGTATCAAAGCAGGTCGGTCCGTCCGGCCAGTGTTGTTGAGTTGAGTTGAGTCTGTCCCTTGGGATGGAGACTGTGTGTTGTTTAACCTGGTGTTATGGTTTAAATCCCTAGTATGCGGCATGTGTGTGAAAACACTGTCGGTACATGTTGTTGACTAACTTCGTTGGCAGGAGAGGAATGATTCCAGTGGGGGAGAAGTTTGTATTTCTCCGGAATGCTACGGTGTGGTGGTTTAGTGTGTTGAGGAATGCTATCATAGTTTGGTAAAGATGGTTTGTACCCCATCATGATTTCGGCTGTCTATTAACATATTGAGGAACTGATCACCCTTAATCTCTTGTTAATAGTAGACGGGATTGTGTTGAATGGGATAGACGTGTCTTGCAAGCTTGTGTGGCGTGAGCAATGAATTGTCCTGAGTTAAGCTAAGTGCTTAAGGGATTATTTTGAGGAGTTGGCGTAATACGGTGTTGAGACGTTTATTTTGACGGAACCTTCGAATGAGAAGGAAAGTGAGAAAATTGGGATTTGTCAATTTGTTGAAATTGCCGGAGGTTCCCTGAGGAAGTAAGCGATTTACTATCGGAGTGTGAAGTAAAGCTTACACGTTTATTTTGTTTTTGGGACGAGTCTGATATTGATGACTCCATATTGTATGTTTACGTTGGGATTGGAGAAGTTGAAGGGTCAACTTGAAGACCCGCTGTGGGAGAGGTCCTTTTATTTGAGTGTGTTACCGTAAGGTGCACCAATTTTTGTTGGTTAGACAGACAGAAGGTTTTGTGAAGCTTTGGGTGAACTATAGATAAGTGAACAAGGTGACTGTCAAGGATAAGTGTTCGCTTCCAAGAGTTAATGATTTGATGGATCAATTGATTGAAGGACGTGAGTTTCCGTGTTCGTGAGATCGTGAGTAGAATTATTGTGTTGTGGTGTCGAAGGTCGAAGTGGTATCGTAATAGGAGGCTCCACGATCTGCTGTTGAGATTGGAAGTAATCGGGTTTTAAAATATTTAAAGATTGAAAGTGTGTTAGACGGCCTCCTAAGTATGAAATTGTGGTTATACGTTGAATTCCGAGATCGTAGCTTTTTACGGAATCAAAATCGGACACTCGGAAGTCAGGTAACGGTCGAAAATAGAATTTCGGGACTGTCATGTTCGTCGAGATTCGCCTGGCGAAGTGCCCTGAGCAGAAAAATGTTGTTGTGGTATTTTTGTCGTAACGGGAGAACCGTAACTCGGAATGACGCCCGGTTCGAAGCGTTGGAAAGCTATTGAAATTATCTATGAGATGGTGAAGTATTGACATAGATTTAATCTATTTATTGATGAAGTGTGTTTGAATGTTGTGGTAAGGACGGGCGGTACGGTATGTGTTCCCGCTATAACTCACAACTTGTTTGTCCACTTGGCATGGGATCTTCTTTAATTATTTATATAAGGCAATGGTTGTGTTGATAAATGATATTTTAAGGTATTCGAAGAGTATAGAGGATTATGTTGAGCATAAGGAACTGGAGTTATCAGTGTTAGAAAAAGAGCGGTGATATACTTCCGTAAGGAAAGTTCTGCCGAATCCGATAGAACTAATTGTGGTGTTTGTGATGCTTGTTGATATAATTAGGGGATTTGCTAAAGACAACTTCAGCGAGTTTCAGTTATGCAAAAGGCAACTCGAAGTGTGTAA